AGATTTATTTATCTTTATTGAAAGTATTACAGATGTCTCCCATTTCCCCCCCATTGACTCTCTCCACCCTATACCCACCCTTCTCACACCTTCAACATACTATTGTCTGTGTCCATGGGCTATGCATATATGCATATATGTTCCCCAGTTAATCTCTCCCCACCCTCCTTCCCTCTGAGATTCGTCAGTCTGTTCCATGCTTCTTTGTCTCTGGATCTATTTTGTTCATGAGCTTACATTAGACTCCATGTATGAGTGAAATCATGTGATACTTTTCTTTCTGTGACTGGTTTATTTAGCTCAGCATGATGCTCTCCAGATCCCTCCATGCTGTCTCAAAGGGTAAGAGATCTTTCTTTGTTACAGCTGCATAGTATTCCATGGTATAAATGTACCACAGCTTTGTTATCCACTCATCTGTTGATGGGAGCTTAGGTTTTGAAGTCAGAAAAGTCCCAGTTTTACCATATACTAGTTGGGAAGGTTTCCTAACACCTTTGAGCCTCACTTTTCCCATTTGTATTATACAATGGGAATATTATGCATGTATCCATAGCATTGTTGTGGGGGTCAAATAAGTTCATGTGTAATGCAGCTGGCACAGTGTATGGAATGTGATAGGTGTGCAGTTGAGGTTTCATGGCGGATGTGTCCAGTTGAATACACCCACGTTTCCTTAGCATGTGGTTCACCTTCAGCAATCCTCCCACAGTGATCTCCAAGGGAGTCTTGTCAGTGGCTCTGCCTTCCTGTCTTTTTCCTTTTCCATCTCTAGCTTGAATGACTACCTTCTTGGGGAACGTGATGTGTGCAATCGCTAAGGAGACAATGTACTTCTGAGAGCCAAGGACCACACTTTTAATAAGTTTGTTAGTAGGAAAAGAGGGAGGAGCTGAGCCATCCTGTAGCTCTTCACCTGCAGTTTGGCATTCCTAGGACCAGACTCTTAGAGGCGGGATGAATGTAAACTACAGTGTGTAGATGAGAAACTAAGCCTTTCTCTTCAAGTGTTTGGTGCGAGAAGAACAAATTAGATTGTTAATCATCAGTTGGAGGTAAGAGCTAAAAGTCTACTTAGTCTCATTATTAAAACAAGAGTGGTTTGGACAAGCAACTTTTTGGCTTCTCGAATCTCTGTCTGGTTCAGCCTTCTCGCCTCCACTCCAGCCTCCACCATGTCCACAGGATGACCCAGAAGGCCTTCAGCAGCCGCTCATACTCCAGTGGACAGGGCACTTGGATCAGCTCCTCAACCGTGCTTTTCCCACGTGGGCAGCAGCTACCGAGGTGGCCTGGGCACCAGCATGAGTCTGGCCAGGGGTTATAGCGGGGTTGGGGGTATGGGGAGCATCATGGCTGTCCAAGTGAACCAGAGCCTGCTGAGCCCCCTGAAGCTGGAGGTGGACCCCAACATCCAGGTTGTGCACAACCAGGAGAAGGGGCACATCAAGACCCTCAACAACAAGCTTGCTTCCTTCATTAATAAGATGTGGTGCCTGGAGCAGCAGAATAAGATTCTGAAGACCAAATGGAACCTCCTGCAGCAGCAGAAAATGACTCTCAGTAACATGGACAACATGTTTGAGAGCCTCATCAACATCCTTCAGCGGCAGCTGGACACGCTGGGTCAGGAGAAACTGAGACCGGAAGCAAGGTTTGGCAGCATGCAGGGGCTGGTGGAGGACTTGAAGAATAAGTACGAGGAGCAGATCCACAAGCGCACAGAGATGGAGAATGAATTTGTCCTCATCAAGAAGGATGTGGTTGAAGCTTATATGAACAGGGTAGAGCTGGAGTCCCACCTGGAAGGGCTGACTGATGACATCAACTTCTACAGGCAGCTGTGTGAGGAGGAGGTTTGTGAACTGCAGTCCCAGACCTCCAACACATCTGTGGAGCTGTCCAAGGACAACCACCGCTCTCTGGACCTTGAGGGCATCATCGCCGAGGTCAAGGACCCGTATGAGGACAACGCCAACCGCGCGCTGGGCTGAGGCTGAGACCACGTACCATATCAAGTATGAGGAGCTGCAGATGTTGGCTGGGAAGCATGGGAATGACCTGCATCGCACGAAGACTCAGATTTCTGAGATGAATTGGAATATCAGCCGACTCCAGGCTGAGATGGAGGGCTCAAAGGCCAGAGGGCTTCCCTGGAGGCTGCCATTGCTGATGCTGAGCAGCGTGGGGAGCTGCCCGCCAAGGATGCTCAGTCCAAGGTGGCTGAGCTGGAGGCTGCTCTGAGAAACACCACTCGGGACACGGCCCAGAAGCTGTGTGAGTACCAGGAGCTTATGAACAACAAGCTGGCCCTGGAGGTGGAGATGCCACCTACTGCAAGCTGCTGAGGCCGAGGAGAACCGGCTGGAATCGGGGATGCAGGACATGAGTATCCACACCAAGACTACCAGCTGCTACTCAGGTGAGCTGATGACCCCCTCTATGGGAACCTCAACGATGGCCTGGGCTTCCAGGCCAACATGGGCTCTGGTGGGAGCTCTGGCTGCTTCAGCAGCACCAGCTCCTCCAAGATGGTGGTTGTGAAGAAGATGTTGACCCGCGATGGGAAGCTGGTGTCTGAATCCTCTGATGTTCCTCCCAAGTGAATGATGACTGTGGGCCCTCCGATCCTCCAAGCCTCGGGAAAGGAGCTGTGCCCCGAAGCTGTGGGCACAGGAAGCCCTGCCTGAGGCTCAGCCCCGGTCCTCCGCTCACCCTTGGGGTGGGGGGAGTTTATTGCCTGGGGGACCACCTCTTTCCTGTGCCCCCAAGTAAAAGCCAAATCAAGTGTTTCTCCCTCCTCCCCCAAATAAAGTCTCAACTGGCTCTGCCAACCCTAGAAAGAAAGAAAGAAAGAAAGAGAGAAAGAAAGAGAGAAAGAAAGAAAGGAAGGAAGGAAGGAAGAAAAGCAGAAAGAAAGAAAGAAGGAAGGAAGGAAGGAAGGAAGGAAGGAAGGAAGGAAGGAAGGAAGGAAAGAAAGAAAGAAAGAGAAAGAAAGAAAGAAAGAAAGAAAGAAAGAAAGAAAGAAAGAAAGAAAGAAAGAAAGAAAGAAAGAAAAGAAAGAAAACAAAAACCAAGAGTGGGTTAGAATAATGGGGATTTCACCCTGCTTTTATTTAGATGGCAAAGAAAATGTATTAAGGATCCAGAAAGACCATGCTGGTGACTTAGCCTCCAAAGCTCCCCCCCCCCCCCCCTGCATGCTAAAAGAGAAGAAAATTTAAGTGGCTGAGAATAAGACTATGAGATGGAAAGCCAAATTATAAACTCATTTCCACTCTTGGCCTGCAGGCTCCAGAGTAACATTTGTTGTCAGGGATGGAAAACAACTCAGATCCGGGTTCATGCGATTATTCCACTTGGGCATTGCTGCCTTTCTGCCAACTGCAATTCCATTTAGACATAGATTAATTAGCCAAGTGGGGAGGGAAGTGCACTCCGGGAGATCAAAGCCAGAAGGGGCTGGGCTGCCGCTGCAGCCTCTAGAGGGCGCTGCCAGGGAGGACTGGAGAGAACCCACTGAACAGGAAACCCACTGATTGCAGTGTGTGGATACACATGGACTCCAAACCTTTAGCGATGCATCTCATCCTCCTGCTGACCTTGTTAATGTCCGTGCTTCAGGGAAAACCTTCAAACGGAGGTGAAGGAAGACATGCAATTGTGAGAGATCAGCTTCAGCCTCCAGGAGATGGTCCCCCTTGAAGAGAGGATGCAGGCCTGAGTGGGTTACGTCTCTCTCTTTGGGCACCTTTTTTAATTCTTGCAGCAAAACGGGCACACATTTTTTTCAAATATGTAGCCCATAATTTTTTACCATATCCCAAAATAATTATTTCAATACAATGGCTTAGGAAATTGAAGAGTGATCATGTTTTCTAACTTTTTTTTTTTTTTTTTACTTTTCGCTATTACTTGAAGTACAAAGACAGGTGAGATAAAATCTGAAAACTCTTGGGAAAGACCCGGCTCTGCGGTAACTAATTGAAGATAGCATTATTCACACACCGACCAGGAGGGCGGAGTCCCTTTTCCAGGACATTCCCCTTGCTTTTGCTTCCAGAGTGCCTGGCCTGCTATCTCCTTTCCATCTGTTTTTTTTTTTTTTTTAAATCTTCCTGGACACATCTGTGTCCTCCAGTGGGATTCCTTCGAGGCAGGGCTGGTGTGGGGGCACGCGGTGTGGCTCGATCTCTCCTGCCTCCTTCTGCTGGGAAGACAGGCGGGCGTTGGGCCCAGGGCGGGAGGGCGGCGGGCGGGGCTGGGGCTGTGCCCGCGGTTCCCAGGGGCCCAGCGGCGAGCACGCCCCCCAGCCCGGGGCTGCGCTGCGCTGCGCTGCGCTGCGCTGCGCTGAGCTCCGCTGCATCGGAGCTGCTGGGGCCGCCTTGGCTGCCGAGCAGCCGCGCTGCCGGCTGGTCCTGGGAATCTGGCTCTCCTGCCCCCCTCCGGATTCTTTCGAAACGTGTGATCCCTTCCCCTCCCTCGTGGAGAACTTCCAGGAGGATTTGCTATTTTTTTTTAAATCATTGCACAACCATTAGACAACCTGGTGGCGCTGAGCGCGGTCCTTTCGGAGGCGGCAGCGCTCAGCTCCTGCCCCACCTGGCAGCTCTGGCCTCAGTGCCGCTCCGGCCCCAGCTGCCCGTTAGGTAGGTCTCAGCGCGGGCAGCGGGCACCTTTCTTTCTTTCATTCTTTCTTTTTTCTCTCTCTTTTTTCTTATGAGTCCTCCGCTTTGCTTTTACATACACTTCTTCATGGCTTTCACTATTTGTTAAACCATGATTCTGTGATTTTTTTTTAAACAAATGTTTGTGTTTTTTTTGTACCCGTTGCCATTCTGATTTTGGGGGCAATACTTTAGATGCTTTGTATTTTAAATCGTAAGTGACTTAAGATGTTACCACCTACATTTAAGACATGGAAATCCACAGGGGCTACCCTCCTATTTCTTTTTCTTTATTTTATTTTTTATTTTATTTTTGTTTTTTGTTTTTTTTAGAGTCCTTTCCGTGTCAAGCAGAGAAGCCGAAGTATTTTTTACCCAGTAGAGGAATGATGTAGTTCCATCCACAACCTTCTTTTCTTACATGCTTCCAGGTAAGTGAGCCTCTTAATCATAAATTACTCAAGAAATGAGCTTTGCCTGGTTTGATTGAACTCGGTATTCTGGCTATGTTTGAAATATGTTAATTTCATTTCACTCTCAATAGTTGGATTAATAGCAAGCTATTATTTTAAGATATGGAAACTGTTTCAAAGTAATGAAATTACTTAGCTGCTTTGAGTCCTTTTATTCATTTTGTAAAGGCTTGTAATCTACATTTGACTTTACCAACTTCTTCAGAATTTCTCTCTTCCCAAAGTGGCAAATGACTTAAACCAATCATGCACTTAGAAGAACGGCAGGACTCTTAAAAACAAACAAACAACAAAACTGTTCGCTTGAATAGGAGCATTTGTTCTCCTTTTGGAACTTGTGACAGAATATTAAGTTTTCTCAAATATGTAGCCCCTAATTTTTGACCATGTCTCCAAATAATTATTTCAATAGAATGGCTTAGGAAATTGAAGAGTGATCACCCTTTCTGACTTATAACAACGAAGGGGTATACTTTCTAGAACTCTGGGAGACTCGTCCCCCAGTGGATTACATGGTTGGTGTTAGTGTGGGGACCGATGTCAGTCTCTGGAAAGTTGCTTTAGTTCGGCTCTTGTAACCAGTAATTTTGTGTTTCTCTGCAATAAGATATTTTATTACATCTGGCAAAACTGAACTTTTTTAAAAAAAGGAACCTTGAGACATCATAGATGGTGAAATGCAGCAGTATGAATTGGGAAGTTATAAATATGACTCTTATCTTCAGCAGAGCAAACCTTCCTTGGTTTTCTTTAGAAATTAGTCAATAGACATCATAATGAAAATAGGTAAGCTGTGCTCAGCATGCGCTTATCAGCAAGAAAACTCCCTTCGCTCTTCCTCTTCATTTAACACGATTCTGTGGAGGTTTTGTTCACTGTTTGTATTTTTTTAGTTTTCACTTTCGTCACACTGGTTATATTCAAAAAGTGGAAGTCAAAACATTTGATTTTGTATTAATGAAGTGCTTTGTACTAAAACAATAGAATATGAGGAGTTTAAAAGGGCTTGTGTCTGAATTGCCAAAAATAGAAAAATAAAAACAACCTTGGCCAGAGGTTAATAATACATGCAAAAATAACCAAAGAATAATTTTTTCACAAGTTCTTTTCTGAGCAGAAGGTCGAGAGGTTAAGAGGACTGAGTGATTTAGGGCCAACCTGTAGGGCATCTGGAATTGTTCTAATTTTAGGTTTTGTGACCTTTTGATGTTTTTGTGAATGGCTTGGATGATGTAGAAGAGAACAATGTCATTAGAAGACAATGTAGACTATAATTATTAACACCCTGAGTTAACTGTATGAAAGAATAAACGATTGAGGTCTACTTGGGCCAATGCAAAGTTATGGGATGTTTGTGCTTTAATATGAAGCTATTAGAGTAGTAAGACAGGAAGTGCTTGGAGTGGGGAGTGGGAAGCAAATGGGCAGGGCTGGACATCACAAGGTGGGTTTAGTGATGGTCACAGAAATAGAATGTTACCGAGTCTCCACCGGGGCAGTCTTAGCTTGGGAGAGTCAGTTTTCCAGGAGTTGCTCCTATTGACTCAGTCTTTTATAGACTCAGAGTGTGGACCTTCAGCAGACCTGCAAGAAACAAACGATACATTGGGAAAAGTGTCAGGGTTGTTTCTCCCTCCGGTGGGCAGAAAATCCATACCAAATGCATGGAGGTCATGGAATGCAATCAAGGACAGGCTTGATTGGGAAACGGAATTTTTGGACTGGAACCCGGATTCTTTGTCCGCCGGAATCAAAGAATTAATCCACGGACAGAGGGAGTATAGCTAAGGTGGAGATTCATCGAAGAACAAGTACAGACTCCAATGTGGGGAGAGGGAAAGAGTCCCAGAGAATGGACTCCCCAGATAGGGAGGGGGTGGGGGAAGATCCCACTGAATGAGTTCCTTTTCCCTGTGGCTTATGAAGGCTGCAGATCCTGGTGCCTTGATATCTCCTCTGATTGGTCACCATTCCCTTAGACTGGTTACTCTAGTAACTCCTGGGTTCAAAGGTTGGACCTAACTTGAGACGTGAGGTTCCCACCCATCCCTTCCTTATTGTTTTCCTATTCCCTTTGGGCTTTCTTCTTCTGGATGAAGGGCTTCCTTTTTATTATGTAAATATAGACCTTTTGCTGCTCCCAGCTCCCTCTTCTATGGAAATGTACCTGTTGCAGCTTTTCAGCTTTTCTATTCTATGGAAATATACCTTCTGCTGCTCTGCAGCCCTGTGCTTTCCTTTATGGTCCCCTTAATTTCCCAAATTTCCTAAACCTGTCCTATTTTATCCCCCAAATTCCTGTTTCAATTGTTTGATCCAAATATTTAATAACGTGAGGCCATAAAAAGTTTGCAATACATACATCAAGCATGTCACACTTGTGGCCCACAATGAATATTTTTGCGGCCCAGCTAATATAACAGTATGTAAGAATCATTTTAATAAAAATTTCGTCACTTGATTTTACAATATTCTGTTATACATAATTATTAATAATGAACTACAACGTTCACTGTTGACTGATTACAATAATTGTGTTGCATTCATTTCCCTTAACTCGCCTTAAAGGTAGGTACATCATTTCTCTCCACTAATACTAGCAGTGAATATTTTAGCAACCAATTGCCATGTCACTAGTCTTGGACTGACTTGTTTGGTGTGCACAACAGGAAATATTTCACTTTTGGAGAACAAGAAAAGTAGGTTTATTTGTGTTACCCTTATTAATTTGTGTAGTTATTCAGTGTCTGGTAAGTTAATATTCAAGAAAAAATATTAATTTTTATTAAAATGCTCTATTATTTTATGTTAACGATTACATTTATTTCAGCCCTTTGTATTCAGCTTGTCTCTATCAAAATAAACCTACGTTTCTATGAAAATTGAAGCTTTTGTTTTTTTGTGGCCCACATAAACTTAAAGGTTGTTTGTTTGGCCCATGTTAGCCTTTGAGTTTGACATGCTTGACATACGTCCTTGTGTCCTATACATGCCCTTCACAAAGCCTGTTCAACCATGGTTCGTTCCTTCTCAGTGAATTGCTTTTCATCATGTTTTTACCCCATTTTGTTGGTGTATTTCTTTAAAAAAAAAAAAAAAAAAAAATATATATATATATATATATATATATATATATATATACTTATTTATTTATTTATTTTAGAGAGGAAGAGAGAGGGACAGATAGAAACATCAGTGGTGAAAGAGATTCATTTATTGGCTGTCTCCTGCACACCCCCTACCAGGGATCGAGCACGTAACCTGGACATGGAACCGTGACTTCCTGGTTCATAGGTCGATGCTCACCACTGAGCCACACTGGTGGGGCATGTTGGTGTTTTGTCTCTCTCTATCCTGAAATCCATCCACATTTCCACGCATCCTTAATCCTGGTCCTCCTGTTAAGGTTGTTTTGCAACCTGTGCTCCTAATCACACCCTTTCATGTGTCCCACCTTCCATCTCTCTCTCTTGCCTGTCCCTCCTCCACTCATTGTGACTGCTGGAAGCTGTGTTGGTCACCAAACTCTTTTTTTCTACCTGGAATACTTTCTTCCTTCCCATCCTCCCACCCCCAACCCAAGGAACTTTTATTCATCCTTCAGCAGCCATCTGTGGAGCATTCCTGTACAGGTATCTTAACACTTAGAACAGTGGCCGCCAACTCGTGGTGGCGCAGACCACTGATCCATGAGGTCTGAAAGGTTGGCGACCACTGACTTAGAAAAATCTCCTGGTGCCTATAAGTCACTGAAGAAAGGAATGAATGAGTGTCAGGGTGAGTGAGTGACCCGAAAAGTGAACAAAGGTATGTCCCGGACCTGAAGGTGCCTCTTTTTATTCTGTTAACCCCTTCCACATCCTTCTATACTGGCACGTGTCATTGCATTATCATCGCTGTTTGCAGGATGGTCTCTTGGACTCAGACCTGAGCAGGGCACAGATCTTGGTCTTCTCATTTTCATGGTGTAGTTCAGTGGTCAGCAAACTGCAGCTCGAGAGCCACATGATACTCCTCGGTCCCTTAAGTGTGGCTCTTCCACAAAATACCACAGCCTGGGTGAGTCTATTTTGAAGAAGTGGCATTAGAAGAAGTTTAAGTTTAAAAAATTTGGCTCTCAAAAGAATTTTCAGTCATTGTACTGTCGATATTTGTCTCTGTTGACTAATGAGTTTGCCGATCACTGGTCTAATTAGTTCCTGTGTAGTTCCTGGGGAATAGAAACTATAGACAATAACCTTATAGGTCTTCAAAGTTCTTTGAGCCCCTGTGATACAACTACCAGATAAAATGAAACAGTAGTAGATTCAATATTTTTTGGAACGAAGCAGGTGTTGTAAGTAAATACTAATACAAAACTATAATGTAGTAACTTGGCAAGTTGCTTATATTTGAAAAGGTAGAGACTTGAGTAGATCACTTAGTGTTTGGTAAGGTGGCCTTCTTTTGGACATGTAGTGGACTTTAAGAGTATTCTATCTAATAAAGAGAGAATATATAAATTAACCATCACGCTCTCACAGATGGCGCCCACAGCAGAGGTGGGGTTTCCGTAACACAATATGGCTGCACCCACAGTGGAGGCCAAGATCCCATAATGAGCCTTAACGAGCAATCAGCAGGGACTTGAGGCTGGGTGGAGCCAGGCTGGGACAGGGGACCTCGAGCCATGCACCTTGCCTGGCGGGGCTTGACAGGGCACCTCAAGGCACGCCCCTGCCCCGGTACTGGGTTGGGGGACCTCAGGCTGCACCTTACACCTCAGGTCGGGGAACCTGAGGCTGCACCCCCCCCACCTGGTAGGGCTTGACGGGGATGGGGCTGGCTGGGTGTGGATCTCTCCCAATGGGGGTGGGGCTGGCCGGGTCTGGGTCTCTCGTGATTTTGAGGCCTGCACTGATGGGCAGGGACTTGACTCTGGATCCTGCAGCGCACCCCAGACTCTGACAGGAGGAAGA